GGAGATGGACAATCCTGGGGGACACTTGCGCTTGGTGGGCTGTGTGGGATTTTCCACCATAACTCCAGCTCGGTCACTGAACTCAACAACTGAAGCCTCTTCCTCAGAAGCAGTAGCAGCATCACAATGGGTGGTCTCCGGAGTCAAAGATGCAGTTTGGTGCTCTCTTGCTGTTCCAGGATCAGCCAAGAGGTTGCTACAGAAATCCAGTTCTGGAATTTGGGTGGCATCAAAGTCTGGAGATTGTGATGAAGATGATGATGATGCCAGAGGAAGGTGAGAGACCTGACTGCTGGAGCTCTCACCTTCAGCCATCATAGAGTCCAGCTCAGAGATCTTGTCCAAGTACGCTGCATCCATACAAGCTTCGCTGTTACCCACAGGGTCCTTGGAGAGCTTCAACTCCTCTCTATTTTCATCCAAACGGGGAAGATCAGGTCCGCAGTCCATCCAGCCTCCACACAAGACCTCTTTGTTCAAATTCACAGTGGTTTTCTCACCAAAAGGAGCACCTTTGTTGACTTGGAAGGATCCTGGGCTTTGGTTGACTGAGGATGAGCTGGTTGGGCCCTGGCAATCATCAAAACTGAGTCTTCTCAGGTAAGTGAGAGGTTTGAGACCTAACTTTCGGTCGCTACAAACCGCAGCAGGACTCTTCAAGCTCAGAGATCTGAGAGCCGAGGAGGGCGTAGAGGGAACCGTAATGTCTTTGAGTCCATCGTTCTGTGGAGTCAAGGTCCCTCCTAGAAAACCTACCCTTTGGCACACATCAGAAGTTGTCAGGAGGCACCCATGGTTGTTGGGAAGCTCTGAACACTTTCGGTCCAGGTCTGTGCAAACAGAAGTTTCTTCCATTTCACTCAGGCTCCTTCGCATCAGGGCGATTCTTTCAATCCCTCCATTTTGAGTCCCTCCAGAGGCAGCGTTTGAACAAACACCTTCTTCAGACTTAGGGCCGTCCCTCTGGTTCTGGGCTTCAAGCTCTTCGATGTATTTATCGCTGCGCTCCAGGGCTCTTTTCAGCTGCGCCACGTCCCGCTCATACTGATGAATTTTAGCCTCAAGAGCTGCGACTGTATACCTGCCAAACCTCGATGTAAATTGAGACAAACCACAAATAAGATCAATTTTGTACATCGGAGTTACTAATACTTTGTAAATATACATAAATAGTACCTAAATATATATGAATAATCTATTCGTTGTTGTAATTTTTTGATCTAGCTTCAAATGCAAGTCGGTTCACCTTACCAGCATTACATTATGAGCATTGTGCTTACTTTTGAGGAGATCTGCTGTCCACTTCGGCTTTCAGGCGCATATTTTCCTGGATTAAGTCAAAAATTTGGGACCG